GTGCTGGCCTTCCTAGCCTACCTTTGCTTTTAAATGTGACCACAAAAGCCACATATTTTAATGCTTGCCACTTTGTAGACTGCACAGGGGAGCAACTGCTAATTACACTGTTCAACAAATTTTTATTTTTTGCCAGTTTTGGAAACAAAAGGATCCATTTCTTAATGAATTTCACATTCTGAGTTCAAATATAACAATGAAATTTGTCAATTGGCTCTAGTTTTTCTGTAAACGGAAAGTTTTCTACTATAGGCGTAATGACTACATAGTGCACAATAATTATATAGATAGATGTCTTTCCACAAATATAAAGCAAGTGATATTGACTACATAACAAAGCCTAAATGGCATAAATATATTGCATAGGATTACCAAGAAAAATTATAGCCATAAGCTAAGTTGAATCATTTTAATACTTAGGATTCTCACTAGTTTTGTCTTCAGTTTGTGTCGGTTTTGCTTCTCTTGGCTTTTCTCTTGTATTCGAGGAAAGGGCTATCTCTTACAACTGCACGTGACTACACGCTTCAGGTTCTTCCTCACTTGACTCAACCACGAAGGATTCTGGTGCTTTAGGAATTGGTAGCCCCTCTCCATGAGGAACTGGACGTATTGCCGATGGAATATTTGGATAGTGCACAGATAAATTTTTCTTCTTATTTAGCCCTTTTGTTGGAGGCACCATACAAAAGTAACAATTACTAACATGATCTGTTGGCTCTCTCCAAATCATTGGCACAGCGAAAGGCATAGATGCCTTTTTTCCATTCAACCATTGCTCCAGTGCCGTCCCACAAGAATTGCAGCATATATGTGGTGCCCAGCTCTTGTCCTGGTCTCCTATCTTGCAGCCAAAATACAAGTTGTAGGCTTTCTTAATCATTCCTGTTATCCTCCTTTTTTGTGAGATAAAAGTTATTTCACTGCAGATATAGCAGAAATTATCTGCTTTATTCACACAAGTTCGAGGCATTACTGAGTAGCCTATATAAGCATAAAACGAAATGTAAAGACGCTGTCGAACTACAATCAGCTACAGATACTGCAGCTTTTATGGAGTGAAGTGATGCAATTAAAGGCTAATATTGCATCATCTCAGTATACATGCAATTTTCTATTGGTCACCAGTATCAATTGCGTAATATGCAGCTGAAGTTGCATCATAATTTTGAATGGCTTACGTCATTAGATGGGTGAATATATCATGGAAACTAGAGCCAATCAACATTTTTTAGGGTCATTTTCGTTTTCAGCACCCCAAAATTATGTAAGATTAGCTAATTTTATGCCCAAAACTTTTTACCTGTTGAACAGTGTTATTGCAGCTCTTTCAGTTTAAAGCTGAACTTCACTCTCTCAATCAACATTGACTATTTGTAATCCTTATGCTGCTAGCATTGCTAAAGAGATAGGAAAGTGTATCATATTTATTTGTATTAAATGGTTTCCATGCCTAGGCAAAGGTTGTCATACATCCCATGAGTCTTCAGGACAGGAGGAGGGGTTTTCTCAGCTAATGGAAAAACAGAATGGTTGGCCGCACAAACAGCAATGTGGTGGATGAAATCCTTTATTGGAATCCTTTACATGCAATATGATAAGAACATGACAGCTCCAAGACAAGACAGAGGAGCAGTAGACGTGTTTCACACGAACATCTGCTTAGTCATTAGTCATAGTCATCAATGTAATGACTAAGCACGTGTTCGTGTGAAACGTGTCTACTGCTCCTCTGTCCTGTCTTGGAGCTGTCATGTTGCATTTACAGTAAAGGATTCCAACAAAGGATTTCATCCACCACAACGCTGTTTGTGCGGCCAACCATTCTGTTTTTCCATTGCATCTGTGATCACGGATCGGGCCAGCACCTGCATGTCTGTGGAGGGGTCATGCAGATTCGGCACTCACCTGGAGCAGACCTTTTGCTCTTTCAGTTTTCTCAGCTAAGCACACCCTCCTGTCTGGCTGCCTAAGAGAAGGGCAGATGGATTCCAGAAAAAAAAATCATCTGGCCTTACTCAAGATGGCCATGGCTAGAGAAGCTAGGGGCTATTTCTCAACAAAATAAAGCATTGAGACTTGGATGGGTGAGTTTGCTTTGAATATTAAACATGAATTAAACAGTGTTTTTGGTTTGTGGTGCTCAGATGAAGTGTATTTTCACTTTAAAGTTAATCTAAGTTATACCCACAAAGGGCAAAGCATCAAGTTCATCTTAATTTAGCCCTTCCCAGCAGCCTTTACTTTTGCTCCCCCACTATTCATTTTAGCAGCTTGTAACAAAAGAAATCCCTGTGTAAGTAATGAGTCCTAGCATAAACAGGGCTATAGACTCGCCATGTGACACAAGTGATAGGCCAATGTACACATGGTGCAAGTTACATACTTTTATCTGGAAGTATTGGGTGTTCCCAGTGCTACATGGAGTGTGGAAGGGGAACAAAGGAAGGTAGCTATATACTTGGGAGGAGGTTTTAAAACAACCCATTGGTCTACCCTGAAAGGTTATCATGCTCTTTCAATACTTGCATCATTATCAGCCATGTACAGCTGGGATAAGATGACAACCTACAATGGGAATCAGAAAGATAACCCCACTGCTAAAGTTTATACTACCTGTCACACTAATAAGCAGCACATTAGTCACTTTTACCTGGGGTCCAAGGTTGTCATTGTTCTGTTTACACCCAAACATACATTAAATAATACATTGTCACTTACTACTCAGAAGATGAATGAAAGCTTGGGTGAATCTCTCGGCATATATTAGCTCAGGCTTTGCAACTGCAAGTAGATGTAGGGCATGCTGGTCATGGGGGAGGCTGGACAGTTCATTCAGTTCACTGTGGCTTACTTCCTTTCCAAAAGCAAGGACAAATAATGTGAACTTTTCACACTTTGCTTTTCTGGATATTTCTTTTAGTTTCTCTCTGTCCCAGAAACTTGTTTTACTTCCCAGGATTGTAAAAATAACTTTGTGCTTTCTTGGATAGGGAGCCTTTTTGAAAATATTTTCTATGGTCCACTGAAGAGAATAGCCCAATGAAGATGGACCTTCCAGTTGTGTCACAGCTTCCTCAATGTATCGTTTCATTAGATTCTTATCATTGTAACTAACAAGGTCAAACTCTGTCTTGACGGGGCTTATATTTCGATTGGGCAGAAAGCTGGGATTGGCTTGTTGAACCAGAGCTGCTCTAGCTCCAGTGCCTTGTACTCTTGGCCGAGATGATAAAACAATATGATCAAGCATTGAGCTAACAAAGTCTTTGGCATGCAAAAATACATCACTCCTGATGTTCCGAGAACTGTCCAGGATAAAGACGATGTCCATGTCTATTTCAGTGGGAGGTATGGGATCCAATTCACATTCTTCATCAGGTATACATTTATCTGAAACATAACAACATGGGATCTTTACTACTTAATGAAATCCCTAACTACCATATAAAAAGCAGCGGACCTTTTTCGTATTTAAATATAATTTTTTTTTGTTTTATTGCACAAAGAGGCAGTATAAAATAGGTACAATAAGACAGATTTATTTCTATATAAGTGTGCTTGTACAAAAATTACACTACTCCCCCATTCCTTTCTGACCACTAAAGCATCTTTTACATTATGTACAGCTTCGACCCCAAACCTTTTTTTTGTTTGAGAAAGGGTTAGATCCTTAACCCCTTGATGCCGAAATATGCGGCCTCTTGGCGTCTGGGCCTTGACGCTGACATATTTGTGTGCAATTATAAAATACATATGTGCTGAGAGCGCGCTCCCAGCACATATGTCCGCGACTCCTGGAAAGGTCCCAATCTCTCCTTTCGATCGGGACCTTTTCCGATCATGTGACTGCCGTGATGGCGAATCATGGCAGTCACATGACCCTAAAACCCCGCCCCACCTCCCGACTTCTGAAATTCTTAAAGGGCCAGGAGGCGCTGGTGCGAAGAGGTTAAAATGGTATTAAACACAAAAGCAAACATTGATTATATTGTAGCTTACCAATTCTTAGATGTGATGGCTGCATTAGTTTCCTTTTTTAAGTTTCCTTTCTTCTATTTTCAAATGGTGATCTGGCCAGCAAACCTGTTTACTTTCAAAAGAACAAGCTCTCTTACAGATGCTTTAGTTGCTGGGATGAGATAAGCCATTTAACACTGGCAGGGGTGCTTAGAATGATCAGTTTTTATTTATTCATGTAAAAACTTTATCCCAAAAGGAAAAGCTGTAGCTGCTTACAAAGGATTAGCTAGAGTTTGGCTTCAGTTTGTCAGTGTATTTAAATTTAGTTTAACACTCCCCTCCCCCAGATTGACAATGCTGCAGTCCAAATGTGTGCACCGTGTTCCTCCATCTAGAGTGGGGGCGCTCTAATACAGAAGGTGTGTTATCGGCCATATCACCAGGTGAAAACACAAGGAAAAAAAACCTAAACAAGAAAACTAATGCAGTCACCATACCTAATGATTGCTCCAATATATTTATCCTGGAGAGGACACCCAGGCTGCTAAGTGGCGGAGCCGCGGCTCTCATAGGACTGTCATGTGGTCCGTTTTCAGACAGCGGTCCGCCATTTACTGATACATGATTTAGAGCATCTGTCAGACTTTTGTTATTGTTTTTCAATGTGGATGGGAGAATCCTCACACAGAACCCTTGCATTCTAACAGTGAGGCGACTTCCCCGCTGTCAAAGTACACTGATCAGCGCTGCCAGCTATAGCCTGTGGTGCTGATCAACTGGGAAAAACCCAATGATGGTTGTACAGAAGTTGATGGGTAGATCAACTTCTGTATAATCACCCTGCCCATACATGGATTGATATTTGGCTGACCCCTACTGAGCCAGACAAATCTGGATCCATGTATATTTATGCAGCTCCCACAGCAGCTACATCTGTTAGTGAAGTAAATTGCTTGTTTGGACCAACGTGGTCCAAATAAATTATTTAAAGTTCATTAGCCTCCCTGGCGTTATTCCCGAGTGTAGCTCGGGGTGAAATTTCAGTACCAAAAGCAGTATCCCCGAGCTACACTCGGGCATACCATGCGGCGTTGCTCAGGGATTCCCTGCAGCGCTTACCTTATCCTTCGCTCCCCCGCGATGTGTCCCCTGCAGCGTCCCCGGCCATCTTCTCTGGCCGATGCCGGCATCCGGCTTCCGTGTTCCGGTCCCTGTGACATTGGGACGTGCGGGGGGTGGAACCGGCGGCAAATTTAAAAATTTTAAAAACTGTCATTTTTTTTTTAAATGAATATTACATAGCAAAACATTGCTGTTTCAAAGCATTTCACATACATTTTGTCTCCAGTGCTTTGTCCCGTGCCCTGCCTGCATTTTTACTCTTCTTTCTGCCTGGAAACTTAGGAAAGTCCATGGCGTCCAAAAAGCGTCCTTTTAAGTCAAAAGCAGTTTTAGACCGGCTAGAGAACAGCGATCGTAAATCAGAACCACTTGCAGAATTGAGTGATAATGATTTGTGGGGAAATTCGTCATCAGATACTGAAAACGATTTTGCGACTTTGCTGAGCAATGTGCGAACTTGGCGCTATATTTCAAATTTCAGTGTTTTTGGTTTGATTATATTATTGAATTAAATTTATTATTATATTATTATTTTTTATGATTATTTATTAAATTATAATTTATCATTTCGTGTTTCAAGTTTTATCATATCCGGAATGTTTACTAGACTCTTGTTCGGACAGATTTCAGTGAGTTATTCCTAAAAATTACAGGCCTACAATAAACAAAATACATATTTACATGCAAAATAATGGTACCGCTTTCAGCACCACAAATCTGAAATAATCATACCGCTAGGGAGGTTAAAAGCTGGAGATTGGCTTTAAAGAAATTGGACATCTTTTAAATATTTCACATTAATCATATACAGTAAATAGTCACTGCTACCGGCCAAATAGATTTACTTTTTTAGCACAGAAAATGTACATATTATATTTGATAGATTCAGCTCCCATTGCTTTCAGTGGGGTTCAAGTTTACCTTCTGAACTTCACTGACCCTGTTCAAACCAAATGTAGGACAATTCAGCTAGACCAGTGGTGGGCAACCTTTTTTTTCAACTGAGCCAAATCTCGCCAAAACCACGATTGAAATTTATTTTGAGAGCCACATTTTTAAAACTGAAAATACATCTCCCATATAGTAATTCATCCCCCATAGTAATTCATCCCCCATATAGTAATTCATCCCCCATAGAGTAATTTATCCCCCATATAGTAATTCATCCCCCATATAGTAATTCATCCCCCATAGTAATTCATCCCCCATAGAGTAATTCATCCCCCATATAGTAATTCATCCCCCATATAGCAATTCATCCCCCATATAGCAATTCATCCCCTATAGCAATTCATTCCCCATATAGTAATTCATCCCCATAGTAATTCATCCCCCATATAGTAATTCATCCCCCATATAGTAATTCATCCCCCATATTAATTCATCCCCCATATTAATTCATCCCCCATAGTAATTCATCCCCCATATAGTAATTCATCCCCCATAGTAATTCATCCCCCCATAGTAATTCATCCCCCCATAGTAATTCATCCCCCATAGTAATTCATCCCCCATATAGTAATTCATCCCCCCCATAGTAATTCATCCCCCATATAGTAATTCATCCCCCATAGTAATTCATCCCCCATATAGTAATTCATCCCCCATAGTAATTCATCCCCCATATAGTAATTCATCCCCCATATAGTAATTTATCCCCCATAGTAATTCATCCCCCCCATAGTAATTCATCTCCCATATAGTAATTCATCTCCCATATAGTAATTCATCCCCCATATAGTAAGTCCCCCCCCATATAGTAAGTCCCCCCCCATATAGTAAGTCCCCCCCCATATAGTAAGTCCCCCATATAGTAATTCATCCCCCATATAGTAAGTCCCCCCCCCATATAGTAAGTCCCCCCCATATAGTAAGTCCCCCATATAGTAATTCATCCCCCATATAGTAAGTCCCCCCTGTGTCAATTCACTTACCTTTGCTCCGCGCGTTCCTCTCGCCTTGCTTCCCGCGCCGTTCTGGTCTTCAGGGCGGACTGTGAGAGGAGAGGAGTTCGTCACGCTGCCCCGTCTACATCCTGGCTGCCCCGCCTACATCCTGACAGCTGCAGAGTCCTGACTTTTGGGGCGGCCGCCCGAGAGGAGGGAGGGGAGGGGAGGGGAGGTGAGGGGGAGGGGAGGGGAGGTGAGGGGGCGGCCGCCCGGCACACGCCTGTCCGAGAGGAGGGAGGGGAGGGAGGGGAGGGAGAGGAGGGAGGGGAGCGGGCGCCCGGCACACAGAAGAGCCGCATTTAAGCTTGTAAAGAGCCGCATGTGGCTCGCGAGCCGCGGCTTGCCGACCACTGAGCTAGACAATACATGTGATGTTCACCAATGACACTGCGATTTTAAATCATAAGTATATTATATTTTCTCTCTAATTATATAAGTTAGAAGATGTATAGGATTTGGCTGGGCTGACTTACCATAACATAAAGTGCAATATAAAATCACTTCCAGACTTTGTTCTTGTAGTCTTTTCCATACAAACAACTGAAATCTTCTGCTTTCATCCACCTAATTAAAACCAGTGATGATTTTTGGAACAAAAAAAATATAATCAGCTTTGATTATTTATTTTATTACAGGTACTTATATATTGCTGTCAATTTACGCAGCACTTTACACATATATATTGTACATTCGCATCAGTTCCTAACCCTCAAGGGGTATACAATCTAAAGTCCCTAACTTACATTCATACATACTAGGGCCAATTTAGACAGGAGCCAATTAACCTACCAGCATGTCTTTGGAGTGTGGAAGGAAATCGGATTACCCGGAGGAAACCCACGCAGGCACAGGGAGAGCATGCAAACTCCAGGCAGGTGGTGCTGTGGTTGGGATTCAAACCAAATACCCTAGTACTGCCACGCGGAAGTGCTTGCCATTTAGCCACTGCACTTTGATACAGCTATGACTAATAAATATTTTTCCCCGCATATTAATTTGTAATAACTTTGGTAAGCTCTAAACCATAAATAATATCAAACTCTATTCTGGTAGCACAGTGGCTAGGTAATTAGTTGTACTGCTCTAAGGTCCTGAGTATATACAACAGGGACATAAAATTGTATGATCTCCCCACGTTTATCTGGATTTTTTCTGGCATTCTGGTTTTCTGAAACAAAAATAAACTGGTAGGTTCATTACTGATGATACAAACTGGCCATGTCCAAGTGTCTATGGCTTGATCTTGGGAACAGGGACTGATAAGGATTAGTTGGTGTTATCTCTAAAATGATTCTTGTCAAGTTTACATAATCAGATTTCTCTCTACTAGCAGACATGCAAGCTTTAAAAACTATAACAATATGGTTGATAGGTTTTTTTTTTTTTTTATAGAAACAGTTCTTCCACTTCACAAACTATAGAATATGCTCACACTGATCAGAGTGGGAATAATTCATCAACTTCATTGTGTCCAGGAGTAAGAAATAATTGCAAAAAATAGGAAAAAGGATACAGATATTGAGATACAAACAAGCTGCTTTTAAGGAAACAACAGAATATAAGGAAAAAGAGGACCAACTGCAGGAATATCTGAATATACAGGATACAGATACTAAACTATAGAATATTTCTGCTTAGATCAGCGTTTTAATGGTAATGTCATTGTTTTATTCTACAGTCAGGATTGAAAACTTTTCCTGATATCTCCCAAAGATGTTCCCTCCAGAGCCTGATGTAATTGCTGTTGCAGACATTATTCCTATGCTCATTCTAAATCATCAATAATATATTGTAATTGTAATAAGTCCACCCACCTTGCCGCATCACTCATTCACAGTATTCTGTAAATGAACTACCACAACGCTGTTGAGTGCTGTTGTAGTTCATTGATTCTTTCTGTCAGTGTGTATCTGCCTGCTCATAGGAGCGCACAAAAACACTGACAGTCTGCAGGAGTCCTACATGGCACCAGCTATCTGCTGATTGCTGGTGCAACACTTTCCAGGTTCCCAAAACCAAAAATAGTAAATTCACATTTTTTTCACCTGCAAAAAAATGTGCATGTATTTTTTTTTGATAAAAGGTGAACATATCCCTTAATTTGTCTAGCACTGAAGATTTCTTGCTGACAGACATAGGGTACATCAGTTTTTTTTACAAGTGTAGTACCCTCCTAGTTCCTACTATTACCAATGAGTTAGATTATTGTTAGCTGATCACAATGAAAACTGTGGTCAGTCCTATGTGAGACAATTACCAACAGATTTGGTGAAGCTGAAGCAAACCTTTGATAAGAAGATTGTCAGCAGTTTACAAATAAAACTATTGGTTACCCCTTAATAAATGAGTTTTCTGTGAGTCCAAGAATGATTGTGTTACATGGCCACTCTAAAAAGTTCACTGTAGTTGCTAAGTGTTAGAACGTGATAGTGATCTTTCTTGGGTAACTGTACTACTGGTGTTGAAAACCTTAGTTATGTAGAAGAATTTATAGTAGGTGATAATAAAGTCAGCCTTGCTTTGGGGATTGTCTGCAGGTCACAAAAAATATGGGTAACTGTTAGCAAATTACAATGATAAATATAATGCATGCTGTCAATTTCAAAATGCACACCGTTGTCAGCTTAAAGGGGTTTGTAAAGGCTGAATTCTATGCATGAAGGTAAAAAACCTTCAGTGTGCAGCGGCCCCCCAGTCCCAACCCCAATCCTTACCTGAGCCCCCTCTGATCCAGTGATGTTCTCGGCAGCCTCTGCTGTCTGGGATTCTTCCTTCTCATTGGCTAAGACAGCAGCAGGAGCCCATTGCCTGTCAATCAGAGCCAGTAAGTCACTGAGTAGAGCATGGGGGGGGTGGGGCCAAGCCATGTCTTATGGACACATAGAGCAGTGGCTCGGGGATGAGCACACAGCAGTGCCCCCAGAGTGAGCGGCTTGAGGGGGAGGAGCCAGGAGCACTGGCGGTAACCTGAAGAAAGGAGGATCGGGGCTGCTCTGTGTAAAATCACTGCACACAGCAGGCAAGTATAGACATGTTTGTTATTTTTAAAAAATTTTAAGCTTTTTAAGCTTTAGCGGCACTTTAAGGAAAAAGTATTATTAACGCGCAATATAAACTGAAAGTTATCCCTGGGCAGAAGAGTTATGGTTAGATTCCAATAAAAGAAATTGGTCACTGATGTGTATGAGGAATTGTTCACAATGAAATTGAGTGTCAAAACTGGCTAATCAGTTGTTACAGAAAATTGTAGTAATTTTTTTCTTATTATTATTTATCACCTAGTCGTGAAAACAGTACTCCCACAAACAAAAATATTGGCA